ATTTTCAGAAAACAGGGGTCTCGCTCGAGCGTAGCTTTCTACGCTCGAGTGGACATGCAAACAAAGGAGCTCCGCTCGAGCATGACTTCCGTCACTCGAGCGGACTGCAAGCTACAGTAAAAATACTGGATGCACAAAAATCACGCTTGACGGGCGCTCGATCCATGCTCGAGCGGACTGTAAACACATGCAAAGTACTGGACACATGCATTTCACACTCGAGCGGACTGCATGAACGCAAGGCGTACGCTCGAGCGTGGAGTTCCTCGCTCGAACGTGAGTCCAAAATCTGGAATTTCCAAATTTGAACCTCAAGCTCAAAACTCAACCTCTTGGGCCCATTTTCTTGAAAACCACTTTAAACCCATAATATAACATGTTTTGAAGATCAATTTGTAAAATCAAAGCCCAAGGGTGAGTCAATTAAATATCATTTTCAAATAAAACATCAAGAACATGATGAACATGCAACATGCATGAATTTAATCCACTTCAAATCTTCCAAAGCATGATCAAATGAGTTAATTCACTCCCAAACATGATGAATTCATGGATTATAACCCAAATATGGACATGCATGCAATAATTTCCATGAAAACAACTCTAAACTTCAAGATTTGCACATGCATGCATGAATTGCAACTCAATTCAACATTCAAACCAATTCTTGGCTTTAAAACTCTAATCTTCCAAGAACCATGCAAGAACTAACTTGATTTCACAATTAAAAGGATGAAATCCTTACCTAGGTTCCTCAATTTCAAGTCTAGAGGCTCAATTATGCAATTAACCTTCAATATCTTCAAATCTCCAAGTTAAGTTTGATGAATTCAAGCCTAACCTCCTACTCTCTCTCTCTCTCTCAAACGGTTTGCTCTAGGAAATGGGCTGATGAAGTGTTGTAATGCTAGCATATAGAGATCAAATAAAAGGCTCATGAAAGTCCACTAAGTGGCATTTTGGTAAATATGTCCAACTCTTGTAAATTAGCATTATTTAATCCAATTTAAACATACCAAATCACATTTCAACTAAATATATCATAAAATTACATAAATTCTAGTCAACACATAACACTAATCATTTTCAGATTCGGCTGCCGATAAGGCCTTCAATTTGCAATTTAAAACATAACATATGAACAGATCATTTAACAGTCAAACAGATAGACATGCATTTAAACTAACACACTCAATCAATTAGCTCAGAATTTCAATCAATTAGCTCAGAATTTCAATCACTTCAATTACTTATCATGATCAGTCTTAGTTTAGCAGTAATCAATGGTGTTATCAGTAAACAGTAGTGAGGGTTGTCACAATAGTTGATGTAATTGATGATTTTCACATTAATATGTAAACAATTTCTATAGACTATTATTTGTCAGGTTATACTTTGCATTTGGCATAATCCATGTTGTTCGTTTTATGTTATTTCAATCAAATATTTGTAGTTCGGGGTACTATGACACTCACCAATTTATCAGGTGTTAGCCACAAACTAATGGTAAGAGTACAAACTTGATCTTTTATTTTGAATCAGTTTATTACAATTGAGCTCTCCACGTGGTACCAAAAAAATATTGTCTTTCTTTTGAATTGAATTGAATTGATTTATTTCTTTGGACATGTCAGTTGTCTTTTTATTTTTTTCCTTTTTAAATACACTTTCCCCCCTCTAATTGTCTTCTAATAAAATTATGTTCTCTTTTTTGTATGCCCGTAATGTTCTCTTTTTAATGATTTATAAATTGGGAAATTATGTTCTCTAATAAAATTAGGAAATTATGAAATTATGGAGACAATTAGGATTTGCATACAATTAGGAAATTATGTTCTTTTATTGGCATACACTAGGAAATTATGTTCTCAAATAAAATTATTTTGATCAAAAAATGCTATGGAGATTTGCACCAAATTGTAATATAGGTTCTCTTTATTCATCTTCTTATTTCATTGGAAAAATTATAAATCAGTGAGTTTTTAAATATTTTTTGAAGTTATCATCTATTTTTAATTTTTCTTATTTAATTTACTCCTTACTATACATTTTCTTTTAGGTATTGATACTTGCAATACTTGATGGCTATTGGATGACTTTAAAATCTTTTTAATTTGGCTATTTTCTAAAGCAACAATTTTTATTCTATAGTTGTTTATAGTTGATGTAATTGATGATTTTCACATTAATTTGACAAACCAGATGAGTTGCAGGAATTATTTTTTTTACAAAATTAAATTTCACCATTTAAGCGGTTTTATGAAAAATGTATTGCTATATTGTTGGGATGCTATGGCATGGAATTGATTTCTTCTTCATAATATGATGCATTTAGTTTAATATTGGGGCTCCTTCCGCGATGTAGAGATGTGTTAATGCTTTCTTCAGATTGATTGGAAAATTATTTCAAATATTTGCTTTCCGTATCTTAATATGTAAAAAATTTCTAAAGACTACTATTTGTCAGGTTATGGTATTTATGTTGTCTGTATTATGTTATTTCAGTAAGATATTTGTGGTTTGGGATACTATGACACTCACCAGTGTATCAGGTGTTAGCCACAAACTAATGGTAAGAGTGATGACTTGATCTTTTATCAAGTGCTACAAACTTTACAAATTTTAACATGATACGTACAATTTATAATTACATTTTGATACTAATATTATTTACACCTTATCTTCAGGTACACGCATACACTAGTAGTAATATATTACAATTGGTTGCATCTTTTATATATATATATATATATATAATTAAGACAGTAAAATAACACAAAATTTTAACTAATTCCTTAAAGCACCATGTAATTATTGAAACTTGTCAAATAAAATTAAATTCCACTTATTTTTATGTGCAAACTTTAACATAATTAGTCCTGAGAGCTGCGTTAAAAATTTAAAAGAAGAAGATGCCAAAGAATATGCTTTGGATATATCTCTCCAGCCATGGAAAACATGGACGAGTCACTTCTCAAAAAAAGTTTTTGGCTATTAAAAAAAATTTAGTAGTTAAAAATATATAATTGATGACTAAAATTCACTTTAGTCGCCAAAAATGAAGATTTTGGTGACTAAAAATAAGTTTAGTCGTCAAAAGTGATTATTTTTAGACGGGAATGAATTTTTTTTGCGACTAAAATATAATTAGTAGTCAAAATTATAGAATTAGCGACTAAAAAATAGATTTAATTATCAAAAATGATCTCATTTTTTTTTAATAAATAATTTATTTTTTACATAAATTTTATTGAATAAAAATAATTATTGAAACTTGTCAAATAAAATTAAATTCCAAATATTTTTATGCGCAAACTTTAACATAATTAGTCATGAGAGGTGCCTTAAAAATTTAAAAGAAGAAGACGCCAAAGAATATGCTTTGGATATATCTCTCCAGCCATGGAAAACATGGATGAGTCACTTCTCAAAAAAGGTTTTTGGCTATTAAAAAAAATTTAGTAGCTAAAAGTATACAATTGGCGACTAAAATTCACTTCAGTCGCCAAAAGTGAAGGTTTTGGTGATTAAAAATAAGATTAGTCGCAAAAAGTGATTATTTTTAGGCGGGAATGAATTTTTTTTGCGACTAAAATACAATTAGTAGCCAAAACTATAAAATTGGCGACCGAAAAATAAATTTAATTGCCAAAAGTAATCTCATTTTTTTTAATAAATAATTTATTTTTTACAAAAATTTTATTGAATAAAAATAATTATTAAAACTTGTCAAATAAAATTAAATCCCCCTTATTTTTATGTGCAAACTTAATTTAACAATCTTGCTAAACATAATTATTTCCTTTTCAAATGTCAAGTGTCAATGGTGGTGGACAGTCACGAAGCGGAGGCGGCAATGAATCCCTTCTTTCGTTCATGCTTTCTCTCTATTTTTTTTTTCACTCTATTTTATCTTAAATTTGTGATTTGATTTTGTTAAATCATAAGAAATCAACACCCATTTCAAAAGCTTTTTTCAAAACCATAAAAAATCAACACTCATTTTCCTTTAAGAAATTAAATCCATTCCATAAATCAAACTGAAAATAAAAATATACTTGTAAAATCAAAACCCATTTTATAAAGACCAACTATTATTTCAGACCTAAAACTTTTTTAAAAATTAAATTCAAATCCATAAGCTGCATAAAAAAAATCTATATAAATAAAAAAACAAACAAAACACACAAACAGCAAGATAATACAAAATTTTAACTAATTCCTTAAAGCACCATGTAATTATTGAAACTTGTCAAATAAAATTAAATTCCACTTATTTTTATTTGCAAACTTTAACATAATTAGTCCTGAGAGCTGCGTTAAAAATTTAAAAGAAGAAGATGCCAAAGAATATGCTTTGGATATATCTCTCCAGCCATGGAAAACATGGACGAGTCACTTCTCAAAAAAAGTTTTTGGCTATTAAAAAAAATTTAGTAGTTAAAAATATATAATTGATGACTAAAATTCACTTTAGTCGCCAAAAATGAAGATTTTGGTGACTAAAAATAAGTTTAGTCGTCAAAAGTGATTATTTTTAGACGGGAATGAATTTTTTTTGCGACTAAAATATAATTAGTAGTCAAAATTATAGAATTAGCGACTAAAAAATAGATTTAATTATCAAAAGTGATCTCATTTTTTTTTAATAAATAATTTATTTTTTACATAAATTTTATTGAATAAAAATAATTATTGAAACTTGTCAAATAAAATTAAATCCCACTTATTTTTATGTGCAAACTTTAACATAACCAGTCATAGTCATGAGAGGTGCGTTAAAAATTTAAAAGAAGAAGATGCCAAAGAATATGCTTTGGATATATCTCTCCAGCGATGGAAAACATGGATGAGTCATTCTCAAAAGAGGAAGATAAACATGGGATACCATTACGAACAACTCTAGTGGGGCCAAATCAAAAAAAAAACAAAAAATAAAAAATAAAATGTGTTTCTCATTCCAGTTAGTTCTTATCCAAATAACCCTCATCTACTAAAGCCGAACTCAGCCAGACGCGGCGCCCCACCACACCACATACCTTCTCTCACCTCTCTCTCTCTCTCTCTCTCTCTAGATCTCATCCATGGCTGCCTCTCTTTCCATTTTCCTTCTATTTTCTTTCACTTTCCTTCTCACTTTCTCTCTTGCTCAGAAACCCAGTTCACAAAACATTGGTATAGTCCTTCCAGTGATCAAAGATGTCTCAACACTCCAATATGCAACCCATATGCATCATGGTAGTAATCCAACGGTTCCCATCAAGCTCGTGGTTGATCTTGGCGGTCCAGTTCTCTGGCTTGATTGTGCCTCCGGACACATGCCATCATCTCATCGTCCCATCAACGGTGGCTCACTCGAATGCTCAAGGGCAAATATAGCCAACGGTTGTGATTGTAGTGTTGACACGGTCAACACCATCACACATGGTGCCACACGTGGGGAGCTAGTTGAAGACGTTGTGGCCGTTGATTCCGTTGACCGATCAGGTCAGGTGACTTCAATCACCACCGTCGATCACTTCCTATTTTCATGTGTACCACCATGGCTACTAAATGGCCTAGCAAGTGGCGTGAAAGGAATGTTGGGCCTTGGGAGGGCTAGAATATCAGTACCATCACAACTTGCCACCAGCTTCGGCTTCCAACGGAAATTCGCCATCTGTCTATCATCGTCAAACGGTATCGTTCTCTTGGGTAATGAGCCTTATGTCTCGATTTTTGAGCCCGACTTGCCGAATTCACTGATGTACACACCCCTAATTTCTAATCAAGATGGCGCTTTAGAAGATTACTACGTTAATGTGAAGTCCATTAAAATAAATGGCAAGAGATTGTCACTTAGTACATCAACACTATCCATTGGAGGGACAAAACTAAGTACAATTGTTCCTTATACCACTATGGAGAGCACAATCTATGACACATTTAAAAGAGCTTATATCAAGATTGCCACCTCAATGAACATGACTCGGGTTGCATCTGTAGCACATTTTGATGTCTGTTTTAGTTCTGATGGGCTTGAAAAAACATGGGGCGGGCCTGCAGTGCCGGTAATTGATTTTGTGTTGCAAAGTGAGATGGTGAAGTGGAGGATCCATGGGAGGAATTCGATGGTGGAGGTGAGTGATGGAGTTCTTTGCTTAGGGTTCTTGGATGGAGGTGTGAGTCCTAAGGCTTCAATTGTGATAGGGGGTCATCAATTGGAGGATATTCTTCTAGAGTTTAATTTGGGTACTTCAATGCTTGGATTTAGTTCATCATTGTTGATGAGGGACACTAGTTGTTCCAACTTTAAATTGTATTCCATGCCTAGTGAATCACTTTGATTCAGATCTGATTTAGGATTTTTTGTATTAATTTTGATTGTAAATTAGCGAAATAGTTAACTCCAAGATTTATAAGAACATTATTGGTATGGCAAGATTACAAACCAAATCAAATTCTTCATTATATGATTTTTTTTTTTTAATACCATTTTGCTCTATTCTCAACAAGTTATTTATTGTGTGTTTGGTAACGTTTACGTTTTCAGTTTATATTTACAAAAATTTTATAAACTGGTTTTTGTTTATTTTTTGTTTATTTTTAGAAATGATGTGTTTTATATATATATATATATATATATGAAAGGGCAAATTAAACATTTGAACAAGTGTAGTTAGATAGGCACATGGTTATGTTGGTGACCCTAGTTTATAATTTTTGTTAGACCATCTCCAACGGTTAAGCAAATCTGGCATCTGATTTGAAATTTGGTGAAATGACACTTTTTAGAGCTCCAACGGTTTCACAAAATTGGTAGGAATGGCAATGGGGCGGGGCCAGGGATCACCCTCCCCATCCTCGATCCCCGATGGCAGAACTTTCCCCCATTCCCGTCTCCATCCTCGACGGGGAGCCGAACCCACTACCGCCCCCACCCCCGCCCCCTAACGGGGATCGGGTTTCCCCGACCCCGAAAACTCCCCGAGCTTCAACACCAGAACAACAAATCATATCTAAATTTAAATTTACAGATTTAAATTTTAAAAAAAAATTATAGATCTAAATTTACAGAGAGAACAACGAGAGAGAGATCTAAATTTATAGATCTGAATTTACAAAAAAAATTACAGATCTAAATAATAATCACAGATCTAAATGAACAACGAGAGAACAACGAGAGACAGATATAAATTTACAAAAAAAATTACAGATCTAAATAATAATCACAGATCAGATCACACACACACATACACACACAGAGACAGATCTAACAAAGAGACAGCGGTGGTGGTGATGTCACCGTCGGTGAAAGAGACCAGCAGTGGTGGTGATGTTGCGGTCGGTGAGAGAGAGAGGGGTCGGGGCCAGAGAGAACAACGAGAGAGAGAGAGAGAGAGTTGAAACGAGAGAGTGACAGCTGAGAGTGAGAGAGAGAGATATATCAGAGTTAGAGATAGAGAGTGAGTGTGAGAGATATATCAGAGTTGAACACAGATTTGGTTTATTAAATATACGGTTTGGTTTTGTTTATATATATATATATAAGGGGTATAAAAGTAATTTCACTTCGGGAAAATTCGGAGATGGGGTCGGGGCTTAAACATTGATCACCGTCCCCGGCCCGAAATAGATCGGGGATTGATTTTTAGATACCGTCTTCTCCCCGTCGGGGGTATTTTTCGGGGAAAAACCGCTTAAATCGGGGTCGGGATCGGGGATCCCCATCGGGCCAGTTTCAAATTGCCATCCCTACAAATTGGTATCAAAATGAGAATTGAACAAAAAAATTATCAAACTGAGAACAGAATACAGGTTTTACCAAATTACTGTGCATGACCGTTAGAGGAGAACAACCGACCAACCGATCGACCGGTTTACCATTTCGACCCGGTCGACTATCTGACCTTTATTTGGCATCACGATTTGAGTTTGCAACCCTTTGATTTTTCGTTGTATACGACTGAATCTTAATGTTGTTCGTAATAATCGATTACACATCGACTATGCGTATCTAACTTCGTGTCGAACACCAGTAGTTCGATATAAGGATCGTTGAGATTATTGTTCGAGATGCGATATTGATCCAATTGTCTCTGTGGAGATCTGAACTCAAATCCGAATCCATAGATTCGACCCCAAATCCCTGATTTTGATTTGAAGTCCTAGCTAAGATCCAACTTTGATCCAAAGGCTAGTTGCGATCCAACTTCGATCCGAAGCCCTAAATCAGTTCACAATTGACTTCTGTGCTCGTAGCTCAATTCCAACTTGGATATAGATGCAAATCTAGTTCTTCAATTTGGTCACAATCACGATTTGACTGTGCTCATAACTCAATTCCAACTTGGATATAGCTGCAAATCTAGTTTTTCATTTTGGTCGCAATTGTGATTTGACTATTGCGACTTGGATTTGTATCAGAGTTTGACTTCGAAGCTTGGATTGAACTTCGATTTCACCACTTAGACTGTGAGTCTGGATTCAACTTTGATAGATTCTTAGATCTAGTTCTTCAATTTTGGGATTTAGTTGACTCTAGTATACCTCAATCTTCAAATTCATCTTCAATCTCTATTTCAAGTCCAGATTTTTTGATTTCATTTCTGATCAGTAAACTCTTGGATCTTTGATCTGGAATGTGGCCTTACCGACCCGCCGGTTGACCAACCGGTCAACCTTCTCTCTTTTGATGCTCACCGTTGGAGCATGCCATACTAAATTGAGAAAATTGACTTTTTTTAATTCAAATTTGATGAAAATTTTGGTTCACCGTTTGAGATGCTCTTAGCAATGTGTTGACTATATAGATTTTGAAAAATATTTGTGATATTATTTGTTTAATTTATATTATGCTGGTGACCCTAGTTTATTTATATTATTTGTTTTATTATTCAAATTTCATAAATTTATTATTTTATTTTTTTAATTTATATAACTAGTTTTCTATTAAATTTATTTTCTATTAGTATTTTTTTTTTTTGATAAGATGATCAATAATTATTTTTTTTTTGGGGAGGACCACACATGACCTT